CCTAAATATCTTGTCTACATTATATTGAGTTGAGTTGTGTTCATGTATTGGTGTTCTTTTTGTTGCTGTTTACTTGTTTACTTTATTTATTTGATTGCCATCAAAGTTCTTACCAGTATGCATTTTTAAGAGAAAATCATTGTGACTGATGGAAATGCCTTACAGTTGTGGTCAAAAGTCATAAAACGCCTGAAAAATATTTCCGGTCTCCAAACAAGACGATTTTGTTTATTTTTTTATATTGGGATTTACATATTTCATGAGATCATCAGGACAGTTATCATACTAGATCAGGAAAATCGTGATTGACATGATATATTGGTGGAATTGTTGTACAGGGTGGCCCACAAAAATCCAGCCGAGGACTGCAGCATTCCCCGATATGTTTTGCTGATTTAATCATGTAACCACTTGCTAAATGGGGATTTACTTCGAGAAAGATTCATAACTAGATTGTTTTACCTTTGCCTCCAATGTTGTAAGTTTTTGTTACGCTGATTAATGACTCAAAATAATAATATTCTCGTTTTTTGCCAATGTTTTGCTAATCTTCCGGATTTCACCATGAAAGCCTTTTATCATTTATATTATTTAGTTTCTATTCTATCACATATTGTAAGAAAAATGCTGACATAAAATGAAAATGTCACAAATGTTCATCATTTCGAAGGCAACAGTATGTCGCTTATGAGCCTTAAAATTGGAACATAGCCTTATTAATTTCAGTTCTTGGTCTCCACATTCTGCAAATGTTTTTTTAAATCTGAGAAGATAATATAATCTTTTAATGAGAAGTTTTTATACGTTGATGTTTATTTGTTGACTGGTAGAATTTAACGTTGATTGTGACAAAGTGTGTATAAATATACACTAGAGGTTGGCGATGGAATAAGTCACAACGCTCATATCTTGCCTTGCCATTCACCTATAAGAAAAAAAAGCATGCATTTTTAAAATTCTGACAGGAGCGATTTCATGGCAACGTAATTTTCAAAAATGTAATGTGTTTTTGATTTGTTACTAAAAACAAAGTTTATTTTAGACTCGGTAACACCTCAATAATACGAAAATGAACATTACTTTGTCATGAAAAGATATACGCGTCTAGCACAGCCTCATGCAGTCTGGTCATGAATACAATAAAAAGAGCCACTTACGGTCAAAATTTCCTTTAAAAAAAAAAAAGTTTATTTCAATGTACATTTGTGTGTGTATGTGTTTGTTTTGGATGTTTCAACAAACCAGTGTTAGTTTGTGTACACAGGCGCGGATCCAGCCAGGGGGCGAGCGGACTTGCCCCCCCCCCCCTGAAACAAAGAGAGAAAGAGAGAAGGAAAAGAAGGAAAAGAGGAGAGAAAGGGAAAGAAAGAAGAGGAAGAAGAAAACAAAAGGGGGAGGGCCTTGCCTCCTAGCTGTTACCCCCTCCCCCTCCCCCCAATCAAAAAATAAGAGATAAGGAAGGGAAGGGAAAGAAAAAAAGGAAAGAGGAGAGAAAGGGAAGGAAAAAAATAGGAAGAAGAAAAGAAAAGAAGGGGGATATCAGTTGCAATTTTCCCGCCAAGTTATAGTGGGGGAGGGGGCAAAATGGCACCTGTCCCCCCCCCCCCAAAAAAAAGGGGGAGGGAAAGGGAAAGAGGAAGAAGAAAAGAATGGGAGAAAAGTTGCGATTAATCCGGCCACCAACGTGTGGATCGGGGGGCAAAGGCCCTTGCCTCCCCCCCCCCCCCCCCCCCCCCAGCAAACCTCAAACAGAGAGAAGGAAGGGATTAAAGGAAAGGAAAAGAGAGAAATGGAAAAATAAAAAACATAAAGATCACTTAAGATTTTTCCCGCCAAAAAGGTGTAGATCCGGGGGGGGCACTGGCGTACTGATGGGGGGGGGGGCTGGGGTGACAGATGCCCCTCAAATATAATTCAAACGTGGTTTATTTTTTATTCGATACCGGTGATTTACAAATGTTGATGAAATGACATAATTTTCCGAGATTTTTCCTCAATGTTTAATTAATTAATTAAGCGCTTGTTGGAAAGTTGGCAAATTAATAAAGAAAGAATAGTAGCCTAAAAGTACGACAAACGGATAGTTCTGGTTCTCCATCTTTTTTCATACTTTTAACACACCCTTTCGGCCATACCGGGAGGGGGGCTTTGGACGATTGGTAGCGTTCAAGTTAACGCGACGCGACACTCCCAGCGCACCCTTTCGGCCAAACCGGGGGGGCTTTGGACGAATGGTTCAAGTCAACGCGTCGCGACGCGACGCTACCTACCCTTTCGGCATAAGCTGCGTAGTTGGCATCCCTTTCGCACGTTAGACTTTTTTGTAATCATTTGTTATAATTTTGAGGGACGAAGAGCTTCATCCAAACATGCAGTATAATAACTCATAACATCCTCATCTTTAATAAAAAATGACATTACGCTATAAAATAAACTTTTTATAAATAATGAAAGAAAACTAATACGAATGGAATACTTTGCAAAAGACTTCAACTGTGAAACCAAACATAATAGATATGCAGACATGCACAAAGAGTGACTGACATCTGTCATATGAAATATATCCAACGCATTGTTGTCGTGACAAAAAACGTCAAATAGAAACCAAATAGAAACCAAAATTTGACATGTCACTGCTTTTGATTTATTTGTTTCAACAGGCCTTCACATGGGATTTAAGTAGTAACAACTCCTTGAAAATTTGTATGATGAAAGAGTCACGAGGATAATTTCATTGCAACTGCTGATTGTATCTCAAAATACGTGGGTTTGCTTCCGTCATGTTTATAAATAGGAATTAACATTTCTATAGGATAATCAAACAAACTGGGCGTTAGCCATTTGCGCATGCGTCCTCTAACCTCTTAATACGAGATCTTTAAGTTAATCAAAAATAAGTTTGTGTGTGTGTTTTTGGTATATACAGGAGACTGCGCTGAGAATCTCACTGCAATCAAGTTGTATCTTCGTTCTGAACAAGATGGGGGTGATTAATTTTAAGTATGTGCACCTAGTTATTATACTTATAGCGGTCTTATTCGTATACACGGTGGATGATTCGAGAATCACTGGTAAGTTTCGTTTTAATATTCATTTAAAAACCCGAAGAGCTACCAACATAATGTGCAAATTCAAATGAAAAGTGAATATCATTATCATCGGATGAACAAAAAATAATAAAAGAATGACTTTATCCCCTTTTTATCTACATCCTCACCTGCGGGTGTCAAATACAGTGCGACCAAGATCAAACGAAACCGAGAATTATCGATGTTTTATCATAACTTAATAAAAATTATAATTAATAAATGACACATATTAGTAAAGCTTAGATCCTCTTCTTACATTTGATGCAACTTATATGATGCATACTTTACGCTTGAGTGATTAAAAGCAATTTGAAGGAAGGTAACCAAAAAGTCATTTGGCGGGCGGTATCTAAATTTCAAAGAAAGTTCATTTTGTGCTCTTTCATATGACACCTCAATCGGGAAAAATGAGCCAGGAATAATAAAGTTCTATTTGTTTAAAGTGATGCTTGCATTTCCATAATTTGATTAAACGAATCCCTTTTCACTGGCCGTAGCAACAAACGGAATTAACAAAAGACTTAAAGTGACTCGGTAACATTGTTGAAGGTTGTTGAAAAAAATTGCTTAATTTTTGTATAAAATGTTACTTACTATATTCCTTCTACTATACTCACCCTCTGAAATGCAAACAATCCTGTACAAATTCTCAAACCACAAAGATATCTATGGTTTTCTTTGAAGGCGTCGATGTGAGTGATTGACGGTAAATTCTCCAAACCATTTTTTAATTTTCCCAACCGTTTTTCCATGAGAAAAATACATAAAACAGGCTATACAAAATCTGTCAACACTTAACTAACTGGAATGGAATGTAGAGCCATTTTATTGCTTTGTTTACATACACCTAAAATGTAATTAAATTGTCCTTGTCTTGATGCTGAACAGGCTTTGACAAGTAGGAGAATAGAAATAGAATTATATAGTTGGGAGAATTAAGGAATCGATCAGATCAGTTTTTCAAAATTTGTACCATGAATAATGATCCGTTTTCACTCAAATTTCCAGATTATCTTTAATTGTACATCTAGCATTATAGTCACTACCTTAGCACCACTATCTCTCATCTGAACAATGTTACAAAGTCCCTTTAACTCCGTTTCGTTGACGATTAGACATAGACGAAAGACTTCATTTATGTCTATCTATTATTTAAAGGAATTTAACCAAACTATAAAATAATTATCTAGGAACAAATCTTTCCATTTAAACAAATTATATACCTCTCTTTAGAAATCTAACCATCTTATTGGTCGAAATTGGAATCGTGATTTTAGCCATGCCCGCCTAGCGGTCAATAGTATTTAAAAAGATGCCCGCATGCCCGCCTACCGGTCAGTATTTTTTTTTTTTTAAAGATGCCAGTTGCCCCGTGTACTAAAACAAGCCGCATAAATGAATTTTGCTGAGATCCCCATTGGTTTACGTGTAAAAAAATTCTTTGAGCGAGCGCGGATACCATACATTTTTTGTGCGATTTGGTCGTTACAGTTTAGGTTTTATAATCATCCCTGAGATCCCCATTAGTTTAAGTGTAAAAAGGTTACTTTGTGTGAAAGCTGATACAAAATACAGTGCAGTGTGTGTGCGGTTCCCGAATGATCTTAACATTCAGGAAACTTTCCAGCAAAGGTATACAGGCAGTGTCTCAGATTTTATATGATGTTTTAACCAGGCTTCACTCAAGAAAATGATAAGGTTAAAATTCTCTGTAGATTTGTTTGTGAATTCGGTATATAAAAGATATATCGACTGCTCTAATATTCGAAGCATATTTGTTTCTTGATATAACGGACCATTGAGCCTATAGAAACAGCGATGCCTCTCATAGCAGTCAATATATCTATACTATTACATCATTTGGAAATATGATTTAATACAACTTTTCGTGAAATACAATCTTCCACATAGACATACGTCTCGTCAACGGCTCCAACAATGCTGAAGGAAGAGTGGAGATCTTCTACGGTGGATCGTGGATGACCGTTTGTGATAAAAACTGGGATCTGTTAGCAGCAAGGGTAGTCTGCAGAATGCTGGGGTTCGACGGAGCCTTGGATGCGACACGATCCGCAAGCTTTGGGCAGGGATCTGGTGGTATTCTCTATGTAAAGTGTTTTGGGACAGAAGACAGCCTGGCAGACTGTTATCGTGTATCGGTCGTCTCATCCTGCAAACATAAATTAGATGCAGGTGCCGTGTGTTACTCAGGAGGTACAAACTCTTTTGGATCTTAGGAAACGATCAGTCGGATATTTGTAAATGGCATACTGTTCATATTGCATTAAAGTGAAAATGTGAAATTCTTTTCAGGATATTTACTCATTGATACATCTCTTCCTTTTAATTGAAAATTCATTGAATGAGAAAAAGCATTATGTTTAAGAAGATGAAGTTAAGTCTTTTTTTATTATTGCGTTTGACTTTGAAAACTTGTCCAGGCATTCCTTGAAACTGAAGTAACATGTAGTCTTATTGCTCTTGCGGACCCAATACATTAACATTAGGTTCATTTTAATTCATACTCGATTTTTTTTTTTTTTTTTTTTTTTTTTTTTTTTTTAAATAATTTAGCCCACCCGAACCCATTCGCGGTTCTTCTAGTCGGTGGCGCCAGCGATGCTGAAGGCAGAGTAGAAGTACTTTACGATGGATCCTGGGGAACTATCTGTGATTCATGGTGGGATCTGACAGACGCAAGGGTGGTGTGCAGAATGCTGGGGTTTGATGGAGCCTTGGACGCACCGGGATCTGCACGATTTGGTCAGGGATCTGGTCGTAGTCTTCTAGGATATGTAAATTGTGATGGAAATGAAGACAACGTAGCAGACTGTGCTCATGCAGGAATTGGACGTTACTCATGCAGTCATACAAGGGATGCAGGAGCCATCTGCTACTCAGGACGTATGTTTTTTCAGCCTTTTAACTTTGTTAGTAATCCATCTACCCCACAATGACTTTTATTGATTGCTTATTGGATGAGCACGAACATCGGAAGAGATATATATAAATGACTTTAACAATCTATTTTCACCGTAGTTTGAAACAATGAATTATTTATTATTATTATTATTATTGGATAAGCACGAACATCGAAATAGATATATATGAGTGACTTTAACAATCTATTTTCACCCTAATTTGAAACAATAAATTTCGATTTATAAACGAATAAAATTGTTGAACACACAATCAAAATCTTTCACCGACATTAAGGTTTTACGCCTGGTCGTTTTTTTTTTTTTTTAAGGGAGACAGGTATTGTTATAACGGACTATACATGATACTGCTCAAAATTTGTCCCCCCCCCCCCCCTTCTCCTAAATAGACGTTTTCATTTCGTCTTATCGATGACTTGCTTGGTTAACAATTATAACCAAATCAGAATAATTTTCTCATTAGTATTATGTTTTTAATAGTGCCGAAAATGCGTTTTCCCTTCTAATCGTCTACAGCTCACCCTGAAAAGTTAATTGTCAGGTAATACTGACATGATATCGAAATGTGATCGATGTCAATTCATTTGTGATTACCCTCATAAATGTTCAGCGAACTTATGTTGAAACGTGTGATATCATCTCAAAGGATCTATTACGTTCTTATTCTCTAATATAGTCCATCCAAATCCATTTAAAGTTCATCTTGTCGGTGGGTCTAACGAAGCTGAAGGCAGGGTAGAAGTGTTGCAGGACGGATCCTGGGGAACTGTCTGTGGTGTTGGCTGGGATCTGAGAGACGCGAGGGTGGTGTGCAGAATGCTGGGGTTAGACGGCGCCCTGGACGCACCGAGATCTGCTAATTTTGGTCAGGGCTCTGGTCGTATTCTATTACAGTATGTCAACTGCGACGGAACAGAAGACAACCTAGCTGATTGTGCTCATGCAGGGGTCGAACGTTACTTATGCAGTCATACAAGTGATGCAGGAGCCATGTGCTACTTCGGAAGTATATTTCCTTTTCCCACATAACCGAGTTGTGTTAATTGTTTGCATGCTTAAAGATATAGGCCTTGACCAGTTTTGGAAACGCACCCCACTCAAAAAATAAAATGGAAGCTTGTATTACCAATCATGTGAAAGAATGTGTTTTTACTAATACGTGATGATACAAATTTTGCCGGGAAACCGTCTACTATAATGGATATATTTGGTAAATTATTATATCTATCCGGACTGGTTAGATATCTCGTAGTCCCATATACATCTTTTTGTGTGCAGTGCTTGTAACTTTACCAAGACTGGGCCAAATTTCTTATCCTTTTAATGATTCCAGAACCTTGCAGTGCACACCAATACTTATATGCTAGATGATCAACCTTTTCTGATCGATTCCACAACGTTCCTTTCACAATGCAATGGCATGACCGGAAGTGGTCTATACCTTTAATAGATCAATAAAAAAATACTCCAGAGCTAAGTGTCTTACAACTCAATATTCTTTCTCACTCGATGTGCAAATGGTCTAAACAAAAACTCAAAAACTTTGAATCCCCCCCCCCCCCCAAAAAAGAGACTTTCTAGTTTTATGTGTCTATAGAGTACCGAAGCTGTGACATCATACAAATCTGTTTTGGGATTTTTTAAATGTTTTCTTCATTTTCCGAAAGAGCTTCGAAAATAATGTAAAAATGTCGAAGACCAATTTAATATGTTAAGTATTGGCTGATATATGACCATCTGAATACATAAATTTCTTATAGGAACTTAGTGTTATATTGAGAAATTCCATTTCTATACTTTTGATGACGTCAAACTTCACCACGCTATAACGTAAGTCAAATGCAACCACACCATATTTCGTAATTCTATAGCCATTTGTCTTTTTGGTTTCGGTACAAATTATTTTAAGCCGAAAATGCGTGTTTGGTAGATAATTGGAACTTATAAAACATTTTCGCATACCTCGGTATCATTAATATACATGTGTTGATTGTAGGAAATACTACAAATAATCTTTCTTCAAAACTATTTTACAATTCTATTCAAAGCTATTATATTAGACAAAATGCTATCCTAATGCGGTATATATATCTTTCCTTTTCACGTGTAGCTCATCCAACCCCATTCCAAGTTCGTCTTGTCAATGGATTAAAAGATGCCGAAGGCAGAGTAGAGGTACTGTACGATGGATCCTGGGGAACTATATGTGATGACAGCTGGGATCTGAGAGATGCGAGGGTGGTTTGTAGAATACTGGGTTTTGATGGAGCCCTGGACGCACCGGGATCTGCTAGGTTTGGTCAGGGCTCTGGTCGTATCCTGCTAAAGTATGTCAATTGTGACGGAACTGAAGACAACCTGGCTGACTGCACTCATTCAGGGATTGGACGTTACTCATGCAGTCATACAAGGGATGCTGGAGCCATCTGCTACGCAGGACGTATGTTTTCTTTGTACTTTATCATTGCTAGTAGTCTAGCTACCAGACAATGATTTTCATTGGGTGCTTATTGGATGGGCACGAACATCGGAATAGTTATGTATTAGTGACTTTAAGGATTTACATTCCTCTCTTTAACAATTGGAATTTCGATGTATAACCAATTTCAAAATTGAAAATTAACATACTTGACAATTTGCTAGTAATCGGTCGTTTTTTGTACGGGTGCAAAAATGGTTTTAGCGGATTTTACATGATAATGTTCAAATAAGTTTCTCGAAAAAAAGGTATTTTAATTCCGACATGACGGTTTTGTATGGGAAGCAATTACAACCAAAGCATAAAAACTTCCCTTTGTCTACGCATGTATATATTAAGCCCAATATGCAATATATCTCTTTCATCCTCTACGGCCGGCATTACGTTTTAAGTAAATTGTTACGTAGTTCTTATAGGACATCTAAATGGAATCAATTGCAAATGAATTATAAGTGCCCTCATAATATTTTATTGAAAGTGAAAAGTGTGGTAATATCATCTAAAACGACCTTTGTGCCACTCTCTTCTCTACTAGTCCATCCAAAACCATTTGAAGTTCGTCTTGTCGGTGGGTCTAACGAAGCTGAAGGCAGAGTAGAGATCATGCACGATGGATCCTGGGGAACCATCTGTGATGACAGCTGGGATCTGAGAGACGCGAGGGTGGTTTGTAGAATGCTGGGGTTTGATGGAGCCTTGAACGCGCCAAGATCTGCTAGGTTTGGTCAGGGCTCTGGACATATAATTCTAGATGTCCTCGGATGTGACGGAACAGAAGTAAACTTAGCAGAATGTGCTCTTGCATGGGTTAAAGGTTACTCCTGTGGCCATACAAGGGATGCAGGCGCTGTTTGTTATTCGGGAGGTAGGTTTTTTTTTTAAAGGCTAGTCGCTTGAGTAAATATGTCTAAATATTAAAATAGCCTGCATATACCCCTGGAGATATATTTTGCATGTCCTGTAGTCAGCCATTGAGGTCGGCCGCAAGAAACTGACTTCCGCAAACAAATGAGAATTATTGGAGGGTTTCCTTACTTCGATATTCCACCTTAATTTTTTGTTTAATAATAAAGGGATTGCTCTTCTCCAAATATTTCTGATCACGTGTAGTGCTCTAAACCAATCCATGTATTTTTTAAAGAGGAGTGCATGATTACATTTCCTTGTAAGAGTATGTACATTTTATTTGATAAACCTATTCTGCTTTTCATCCTAACCATTCATTAAACACAACAGGGCCATTCCTTGTTCGTCTTACCAATGGAACCACCGATTTAGAAGGCAGGGTTAAGGTTTCGTATAAGGAAAGCTGGGGTACTATTTGTGATGAAAAATAAAATTAAAGAGATGCAAAAGTAATTTGTAAAATGCTTGGATTGGACGGAGCTTGGTTGTGCTACGCCCGGTCACGGACGTGGTAAAATCGTGTTTGATTACGCTGGGTGCAATAGCAAAGGAGACACTCTTGTCGAGTGCTATCATCGAGGAGTTAAAAAGTGTGAACATGATAGTGATGCTGGTGCCATTTGTTGTATAAAAGGAACGTTGTGTATTTCAAAATATTAGAGTGCAAATACTAGTTGTCAGCCAAATTGAGTCATATAGATGTTACCGGGAGGTTTCGCGATAAAGATACCTGCAATTGGTCCTATACCTAGGCATGCACATTACGGTTAGGTTCCATGACACATGCTCCGCCGACGATTGCTCCGCTGACATTTACTCCGCAAAACGCGACAATTGCTCCGCGACATTTGCTCCGCGACATTTGCTCCGACGTCAAATGCTCCGCCGACAGGTGCTCCGCCGACAGTTGCTCCGCCGACAGTTGCTCCGCCGACAATTGCTCCGCCGACAGATGCTCCGCCGACAATTGCTCCGCCGACAATTGCTCCGCCGTCAATTGCTCCGCAAAACGCGACAATTGCTCCGCCGACATTTGCTCCGCCGACATTTGCTCCGCCTGAAGCGACACTTGCTCCGCCGACATTTGCTCCGCCTGAAGCGACACTTGCTCCGCCGACATTTGCTCCGCCGACAATTGCTCCGCCGACAATTGCTCCGCCTGAAGCGACAATTGCTCCGGTGACATTTGCTCCGCCGACAATTGCTCCGACGACATTTGCTCCGCCGACAATTGCTCCGCCGACAATTGCTCCGACGACAATTGCTCCGCCCAAAAAGTGTCCCATTAAATACAAATGCTACTAGTACTACGACAAATGCTTCGCCGACAATATTTTTTTTTCACGGGTTGTTTTTGTTTCTTTTTTTTTTCTTCATTTTCTGAATGCATTTCATGAAATTATGTAAATGAAATGAAATGAATGAATGTTGATGATGTGGGAGGAAAAAGCAGTTGCCTAAAAGTCATTTCGAATATACTGAAATAACTTTCCATCTATCACTGTACGTCCCACATAATGTACACTAAACACTCATTACATGTCATGGGAAGTTTTTTTTTTTTTTAAAGTAGAGCAGCAAGCCACATTCCCCAATACGCGCATACCTCCTAGTTAATTTCAAACAGCTCATCAATATGTAAGACCTGAAATTACCTCAATGAAAGAAGACTAATAACATGAGAGGAAAGAAAAGAGCAAAGAAGACAACCGTTTTTTGCTATTCCCCATAATGTTTTATTTAAAAAAATAAAAAATAAAGTTATAGCTCCTTACGCAAGTTCTCCGGCGAAAGATAATTACTCTGCTCAAAATCTGTTTCATGTATTACTCATTAGCTGATCCAAAGCTCAAGGCTATCTCTCTCTCTCTCTCTCTCTTTCTCTCTCTCCCATGCTCCTCCTTTTCCTGTTTACACCGTTTTCTTGTCTTCTTTGCTCTTTTCTTTCCTCTCATGCTATTAGTCTTCTTTCATTTCCATCACTTCTTCTCTGCTCCCCCTCTCGAGTTCTATTTCTCTCGTGAAATTGACACGTAAAGTAATACAATCATGTAGTACATTCTTGTTTAGAATAATATTTTCAATAATATCCAGTCCATTTTCTAAAGGTTTCTTTCCTTTAGTTAAGTGTATGTAGCTTTAATATATATATATATATATATATATGTTAGTGTGTAAAACACTCCGTTTCATTCGAGTACTTTGTTTTCACTGAATAATTTAAGGGACTCACGAAGCCACCGGAAGAAGAGCAATTGGCTTATCATGAAGAACTAACATCAAACTGCAACAAAATGATTTGTATAAATGTGAATAAGCAGAAAGGCTGCCATCTCATTTTCCCGTCTGAATGGGTTCTCTTCCTTACGTGTATAAGTGCCCTTATTTTCTAAACTTCCGTGATGACCTAGTACACTGTATAATGCTTTACCTAGTAAGATGTATTGATCGAGGTAATTTCAGGTATTACATATTGATGAGCTACTTGAAATTAACTAGGAGGTATGCGCGTATTGGGGAATGTGGCTTGCTGCTCTACTTTTTTTTAAAAACTTCCCACGACATGTAATGAGTGTTTAGTATACATTATATGGGACGTACAGTGATAGATGGAAAGTTATTTCAGTATATTCGAAATGACTTTTAGGTAACTCCTTTTTTCCTCCCACTTCATCAACATTCATTCATTTCATTTCATCTACATTATTTCAAGAAATGCATTCAGAAAATGAAGAAGAAAAAAGAAACGAAAAAAATAGGTGTAAAGAAAATATTGTCGGCGAAGCATTTGTCGTAGTACTAGTAGCATTTGTAGTTTATGGAACACTTTTTGGGCGGAGCAAATGTCGTCGGAGCAAATGTCGGCGGAGCAATTGTCACTTCAGGCGGAGCAATTGTCGGCGGAGCAATTGTCGGCGGAGCAATTGTCGGCGGAGCAAATGTCGGTGGAGCAAATGTCGGTGGAGCAAATGTCGGCGGAGCAAATGTCGGCGGAGCAATTGTCGCTTCAGGCGGAGCAATTGTCGCTTCAGGCGGAGCAATTGTCGGCGGAGCAATTGTCGGCGGAGCAAATGTCGGCGGAGCAAGTGTCGCTTCAGGCGGAGCAAATGTCGGCGGAGCAAATGTCGGCGGAGCAATTGTCGCGTTTTGCGGAGCAATTGACGGCGGAGCAATTGTCGGCGGAGCAATTGTCGGCGGAGCAATTGTCGGCGGAGCATCTGTCGGCGGAGCAATTGTCGGCGGAGCAACTGTCGGCGGAGCAACTGTCGGCGGAGCAACTATCGGCGGAGCATTTGACGTCGGAGCAAATGTCGCAGAGCAAATGTCGCGGAGCAATTGTCGCGTTTTGCGGAGTAAATGTCGGCGGAGCAATCGTCGGCGGAGCATGTGTCGGGTTACCTACGGTTAGGCTCAGGTTACCATTACACCGGTTTAGCTTCTTTATTATAATTGAAAATAATTTAAACATATAACATCGCAAGATTTGGTTTCTTTGGTATACTTAGTACTTGCCAATTGGTAACACTTCAGTGACTTGTGTTAATAAATATACCAACCCTACTTACCACTGTCTGTGTTGACCAATGTTTCATGTATGGGTTTTGTAACGAAAATCAATCTTCATCATATATCTCATAGTTATTTTGTGTAGAGAGTGCCAGTAAGTTGTTAAAGTAAAGTTGATGGCAACTGAATAAATATTTTGCACACATTCTGTCAAGTATAAAATTCTTTTCATCTTGACCGTCTAGATCCATTTCAAGTTCGTCTCGTCAATGGATCAAACGATGCTGAGGGAAGAGTAGAAGTACTTTACGAAGGATCCTGGGGAACTATCTGTGATGACTCGTGGGATTTAAAAGATGCGAGGGTTGTTTGTAGAATGATGGGGTTCAACGACGCAACAGCTGCGCCTACTTCTGCAAAATTTGGTCAAGGACCTGGCCATAGTTTTCTGACATCTCTCGGCTGTGGGGGGAATGAAGATAGCTTGGCAGATTGTTTTCATGCAGGTGTAAGACGTTCTCATTGTAGTCATATTAGTGATGCCGGCGCTTCTTGCTCCTTGGGAGGTAAGATTTTAATATGGAAAATCTTATCATCATTTTATATCCCAGCTTGATTTTCTTGTGTTAATGGAGATGAGAATTTCATTTTTTTATAAAACTGTCAGATTGATATATGTTTTACAAATTTCTACATGTGTTCCTGTATATTAAACTCTTTTTTTTAAAGCTGTGGCTAAAGTAATTTTTAACGCATTATCCTTACATGTGTTTGTCAATTGTTACCAAGTATTTCCAACATACCGTTCTATGAAATAATTTGTTCAGAATTGCGTTGATAATCGCTAAACATTGTTAATAATTTTCTGATTAGATTAACATGAATCTGTATTTATTTGCTTTACATTTCAGTTCGACTTGTCAATGGAGCCGATGGATATGAAGGAAGAGTTGAGATACTACATGAAGGGTCTTGGGGGACTGTATGCGACGATTTATGGGACTTGGACGATGCTAAGGTTGTATGTCGACAGTTAGGATTTGATGGTGCTGTGGCTGCTCTACCCCTAGCCAGATTTGATCAAGGTCATGGTGAAATCTTTCTAGATGGTGTTCAGTGCAATGGAACAGAAACCAACCTCAAAGACTGCAAGCATGATGGGATAGGTGTTCATAGTTGTGTACACAAGGAGGATGCCAGTGTCATATGTGAACAAGGAGGTAATACCATAAATCCGTCATTAAAAAAATGACTAAATTATACATTTGTAAACACGGTGATGTAACACCTGGGAAACGTCATTATGCATATACACAATTTTCCGGAAATAAAGATTACATATATAGACCGTCACTCTGTAATTGGAATAAATCCTAAACATGGCGGTTTATGAAAGCTCCTGTTGTTTTCAAGCGCGTAGCCAGGATTTCATTTTAGGGGGCGGTAATGAGCACGCAAAGCGTGCGAATCACTTACAGAGCGCGCTCCCTAGGGGGGTGGGTGCAGGGAGGGGGGAGTTTCACCCCCCCCCCCCCCCTCCCGCGCGAAGCGCGGAAGCTTTGAAAGAAGACGATTCGTTGTACTTTTCTCGACTCATAATCCTTGTCTGAATTCAGTCCGTCCCCCCTCTCGCGCGAAGCTTTGACGTTTCATCAAAATATTAGAGAAAAGTGACGATTCGTTGTACCTAATTTCCCGACTCTTAATCCATATCTGTATTCAGTCTCCCTCCCGCGCGAAGCACGGAAGCTTTGAAAGAAGACGATTCGTTGTACCTTTCTCGACTCATAATCCTTGTCTGAATTCAGTCCCTCCCCCCTCTCGCGCGAAGCTTTGATGTTTAATCAAAATATTAGAGAAAAGTGACGACTCGTTGTACCTAATTTCTCGACTCTTAATCCTTATCTGTATTCAGTCTCCCTCCCGCGCGAAGCGCGGAAGCTTTGAAAGAAGACTATTCGTTGTACCTTCTTGACTCATAATCCTTGTCTGAATTCAGTTCCCCTCACGCGAAGCTTTGACGTTTCATTAAATTATAAGAGAATGAAGACGATTCGTTGTAACTTTCCCGACCATTAATCCTAAATTTGAACTCAGTTCCCCCTTCCCGCGCAAAGCGCGGAAGCTTTGATGATTCGTTTGACCGTTCTCGACTCCTTTTCCCTTTTTCTTCCTACGTCCTCTTTTTTTTGGGGGGCGACCGCCCACACCGCCCCACCTCCCCCCCCCCCCCCCCCCCTGGCTACGCGCCTGGTTGTTTTACTGAGTAAAAAAGACATCTAAGACATTGAATATTGGAACCGAAGAAGTTCAAATGAAAAAACAAAAATACTGCCACAGGCTTTATTAAAAGATTTCGATTCCCTTTGAACAGTAATATGTTTTTTCTTCTTCATTTGTTGGGGTGGGGGAGACGTTTTGAGATGAATTAATCTCATGCACATTTTTATAAATGGAAAGTAAGGCATGAGTTTATTTATTATTTGTGCTCTCTACATTCTTGTCATTTTCATTAAGATTTATCGGTACATGAAGCCAATTTTTTTTTTTTTTTAAATATCTTTATAGGTTTGACGAAAAACTCAACTAAGCTTTTGCAAATTGGACACGAAACCACGATAGTTCCACCAAGAAAGCAAGGACAAAACTCCAGCACACCTCAACATCCGCTTAACACTAGTAAAATTGCCGTCCGAATGATAATTCTAATTGGACTGTGTATTATATTCTTTAGCAGCATTCTGATCGCATCATTCGGGTACTGTATCTATAGGTTTAAAAAGAGAATAGCTGCTAGGAATTTAGTCACTGAAATATATGTGGACTTGACGACTATGTCATCAATGCATGCTCGGTCACCTGGTTCCGCTTACCAAGACTTGAATGCACCACCTAAATTACCTGAAAGACGGAAAAGTGATGTTTTGGATCACCATTATGAATCAAAAATAAAAGATATAAAAGATAATCATGATGACGATTTAGAAGAGGTCCATGATTATGCCGATATGAAAACTGTTTCCCGAGCACCTCAAACCGATAAAGAATTGGACATAGACGGATATCTCCTTCCGAACACGGAAATACCTTTAAACGATGGAAAGTCGGTATCAGATAATAGGAACTGTGGTTGCATAAAGGACATGCCAAAACCTTCAGATGAAAAAGCAGGAACGGGGCCTTTATCTCAAGGCAATAAGGAAAACATGAAAAACGATTATATGGAAATGAAAACGGTTTACCAAAAGCCAAAAACGGGGAAGGAAATAGATCTTGATGAATATATCCTTCCAAACGCAAGACCTTCGCTGGATGAAGGTGATATAGGAACCTATAAACTGACTCCTGAAAATAACGACAAGGAATCGAACATGGAAATCGATTGTACCGGAGGTGAAGGGAAGGTCCCATTACCGCAAGACACGTCACAGAAAGAGATACACAAGTACATGGATATGAAAACTGTTTGCCCAAGTCCTGCAACAGGAACCCACTCAGATCTCGATGGGTATCTTCTTCCAAGTGCGATGCTAGAGACTAGATCTATCCGAAACAATATCAGAGCAGAATCAGATGGACAATCTGATGAGGACACGGTGCCAGATGAGGAATGAATGGCGGCGAGTCAATGAAAGAAAGATCACAAAGTATGAGCACTGGAAAAGAAGAGTATTGTACTAGCAACTATCGGAAGCAAAGTTGAAGGGAAGTGTCGAGGTGGTAGGTGTCCTGCAGGATGGACAGACATCTTCAAGAATTGGGAGGGTGGAATGAGAGTAGCGATATTGAATGCGCGCGAGAGGAGCCGTCGTCCCATAGGGGCTGTGGCATAACACATATAGTACATATAGTAGTATGCATTTTAAAGAACGGGATGAAACATGGAGGATTCCAGTAAACTAACCTATAAAACAAGGTGGCATCTGAGATTAATATACATAAGCCATATTGACTAAAAGACACACTCTGAAGGAGATAAATATTGATTAGTATGTTATGTATGAACCATTTATTCTTAATTTAGAACAGGACAATTTGTCATGCACCAAACCAGAAATATTCCAGAACCTGTTCCGTTAACACTTTGTTAAAATGGTGGTATTCCTCGTCTTTCGACACAAACATGTTCTCACGACATTTAAACTTACTTTGATGTTTGTAATTTACTAACAGAACCAATTTGTATATAACGATCATCAGATGAAGCAACTTACAACTGAACTAGACCGAGTTCAGAATTATGCAACAAAGAAATAGCCAAGTGTTTTTTATTGGCTCCCAGAGTCATTCTGTCAAAAACGACACTTATTACGTTTGTCGAATAAATTTGATGGTGCTGTTATGTTTGTTGTTCATATCACTAAAACTTATCATTACTGAAGCCCACAGTATTTTATGAAAGAAAATGTCTGCAAAATAACAAGCGAATTAAATGACAAAGAAACTGTTGAAAGTTCTCATTTATCGTAAAAGTGCTAGTTAAATTCATTTCAGGTTTTTAAAAGAAGTCTAAATCCGAGTACTTTATATTTTTATTGTCATCTACAGTTGTGTAATTTGCATGAAATGATCTGATTGTAATTATGTTATCTTGGTACAAACATTTATTGTTTTTCGATTTGTATGCGCCCAAAAACAATGGGATTGAGCGCTTTATAAATTGTATAAAAATTATGTATATATTATTATCAGTATTAGTAGAAGTAGTATTATCAAAACAGGCGGAAAGTGGACCCTATATGTAATTACTCAGTGGTGATTAATCTACATACAATATTGTGTTTGATAGAGATATATTATGAAGTTCAAGTTCTGAATTTGTAGTCTAAAGTTATGTTTGTTTCCAGCCTTTGCTTAGGGTTGTCTGGTCTTTCTTCTTTTTGTTTATATTCGTTCTATATGCTTTTAAATCTTTAAATCTGTTATGTGTTATTGTCTTGTATTGCATATTCATGTAACCAAACTCTCATCTTGCTTTCGAGCACTTTCAATTTTTGTTCATGAGAGGACTATCTTGCAAGACCGCCTTGGTATTTTATGGTACCCTTGATGCCATGTGTGATGATTTGCATCTGTGCTGTAAAATTAATGTTCTGCTTTGTATATGTATATGCTTTTATTTGAATTCAACAGAGTTGAACTTGAACATGATCAAATGCATTGTAAATAAGTATCTCTACGAAAAGTGAAGGAATTTCAAATTGCCTATTTTTAATGGGAAATCCCTCCTTTGTTTAAGATACGTCATTATTTTTTTTAAATATGTTAAATAATCATCGCTATGAAGATACCTTTTTTCACCATATCAACTTCGTCAAATTGTGTATCAACATAATTTTAAAAAAATAAGAAGAAAATCGGTTGGTGAAAAGTAAATTAAACATCGTACATCTTACATGAGTAGAAACGTAAGAAAGTTGAGATTTTTGGAATTGCATAATTATTGGCGAAATAGCAATTAGACTGTGATGTAGATAGGAACAACTCCCAATCTCTGTGTAGGCCTACTCTGATAAAATATTCTCTCAAATTTGCGAAAGTTGTCTAACAGTACATGATAGCGAATTAATTATCAATTTTCTACAAAGTTTAAAAAGATTACTCGTTTAAAAGGTTAGGACTTTGTACCTTTTAAATTTAATTGGTTCAAACTTAAACCATCTGTTTCTCTAATATTCCGTTTTTCCTTCAAAGCAACCCTTGCCGGTATAAAAGATTGAATTTCCCTCTAAGAAAAAAACCGAATCGATACTGGGCCTGTCTCGTGATTCACTTGAAAAAATTGAATAAAGCGGAAGCATAATACACTGAATGATTTAAAACAATTTAACTTCACTAGTTTTCTGGCATGTGTGCCTGCTAAAGGGGCTAAAGCGACTGTACTGTAGAGGCTTTTCAATGTTAATACCCAGCGTAATGACGCTCGCGAGCTCACCAATGTCGACTCATCTTGCATTCAAAGTATTATTGAATTGTACGTTATCATGTTCACAGTCAATGAATATAGCATAACATAGTTTGGAACAGCAGTGTGTAGAACACTAATCATGGGCCATCCGTTCATCTATAGTATATTCATCAATCCTACCCGCAATGTGAATAGATAGTATACCTACGCCTACGCTCTTGCCTTGCAGACTTGTTGAGTGCGACACAGAAAAATAAAGGCCTGAAAACATAAACACTTATGAACTATGGGCTTCCCGTTTTTTATAAAGAA